CAGTCATTCAAGAGGCTGAGATGAGAGGATTGCTTAAGTCCAAGAGTTCAAGTTCAGCTTGGGTAACATAGACCTTTTCTCTAAAACAGTAAAATAATAATTTGGAGGGAAAGTAAGAGAGGTAGTTTCACTTAAAGTTTCTCTGACTTGAAAGGTTTAGGTTTTTAATCTCCTAAGCACTAGTAAATATTTATCACCCTTAATATCATCTTTAAAAAGGAAAATTTGCTAAACTCTACCTATCACTTGTTTAGGAGAGGAGACATTTTCAATTATCTGTCTGCTACCTCTCAAATGCAAAGAGAAACAGCAAAGGAAAAAGTTTAAACCATTTAGTCCTTGAAAGGATATCATGGAGTATGTAAATTAAAATTCTATAGAAGAGGGGCCATTTCCTACAAATAAAAAATCAATTTCTCTGACACTGGGATCTAATCTCCCCATATCCATTCCTGAACTTCCCAAGCAAGTCATCAAGAGACACAAAGCTGTCGGGGGAGGAATGAGTTTTTAGAGTCAGGTCAATCTTAGAGTCAAATCTTGACAATGCTGTCCATTAGGTTTATGCCTTGGACAACTTACTTAACTTTTAAAATTTTCATGTAATTATAAAATAGAGATACCACCTACTGTTATTTAACAATGGGAGTTACTACAAGGGGTATCTTATACATGTCTTGGTTTAAGGAGAAGAGTTCTATTCATTTATTCTTAGCATACAGTTAAGCCTGACAAACCTCTCTGGTGACTGGCCCCCAGGAACATAAAAGACACAAGGCATGGTGGTCCTGACCTTCGGCACTTAACTTTTGTTGAGGAGACATGTCATACATACATGAAAACCACAATTAGTGATTGAAAGGTAGCCTGTTGCAGAGGCAAACATACTAGCCTGGTAATCAGGAGGCCTGAGTCTAGAAAACACTTCTGTGAATGACCTTAGATAAGTATTTTCTTTGTGAGCCTTTGTGTACCCAGCTACAATACAACAGGATTGAACTAGATCTCTTTCGACCTTCCCAGGTCTAAAGTTTATGATACATAATGAACAGTGAGGTTCCAAGTGCTATGAAGTTAAGAGCAGACACACAGGCACACTAGTTTGAGGAAGCTCTGTGGAGGATCGGAACTTGCATTCAGACCTGAAGAATGAAAATGATTTGGGATGCCAGAAGAAGGGCAAAGGGCATAACGATTGGGGCAAACAGCAAAAGCAATCCAAAGGATAAGTGAGTCAAGTGTAATGAAGGGCTAATGAGATGAATCTAGTTGGCCAGGTCTGTTGCCAAAGATGAAAAAGTAAGAACACGTCAGACCCAAAAGGGTTTGCCTAACAGAGAAAGGAGGCTGGATTTGTCCTGGAGGCAACAGGAATAATCAGGAGGTGATAAAAACAATCAGTAGTTTCCAAACAAGTATAATATAAACTAGTAAAACTGTTAGTGGGAATCCCATTTCTCTGTCCCCTTGTTTTCATGAGGAAAAGCATGTTTTACTCCCAAGCAGGGAAAAATCTTGGAAATATGTTTTTGGCCCTTCTCCCATCTCACTTCTCTGGTTGGAGATATACCCAACTGGCACAATTGAGAAAGGGAATGGAACATACATTGCCCTACATTCCCTCAGCTTCAGAGATTTTCTGCAGTTCTGGCAGACAAACTCCACTGAGCAAGCAACAAGAAGCCTGATGCTAACCACAAGCCAGTGGAAGTTCTTCAATCCAGTTTACCGATATTGAAGCTGATAATTGGATGTCCATCTCTGTTGACTATTTCCTAAGATATTTAGAATTGAGAGGAGAAAGGGGCATTTGATTTACCATCACCACCACTGCCTGCCAACATAAATAAGGTAACAGCAGTACTTCAGAGACTAGCCAGGTGGCAGCTGGCAAGATGGACTGAAGGAGGAAAGGGCAGGAAGCCTATAAATCAGTTGTGGAGCTCCTATAGTAACCCAAGCATTAAATGCATCATTTGTAGCCATCAAGTATTATCCAGGGTCTAATGGATAACTGCTCAAATAAAAATATATACTTGAACCAATCTGCAAGAGTAAATAACAAAGCACAAAAAACTAAGATTTGGCTAGGTGCGGTGGCTCAAGCCTGTAATCCCAGCACTTTGGGGGGACGAGGTGAGAGGATTGCCTGAGCCCACGGGTTCAAGACCAGCCTGGGCAACATGGTGAGACTTCATCTCTATAATAAATCAAAAAATTAGCCAGGCGTGGTAGTGTGCACCTGTAGTTCAGGTTACTTGGAAGGCTGAGGCGGAAGGATCACCTGAGCCCAGCAAGTCGACACTAGGATGGCTGTGAGCGTGCCACTGCACTCCAGCCGGGGTGACAGAATGAGACTCCACCTCAAAAAAAAAAAACAAAAAACAAAAAACTAAGATTCAATGACTAAAATATATATATTTTTAAATCAATTAATGTCCTTTCATAACTAAACTGTTGCTGACCAGTGTGATCATTAATTAAAGGGACCAAAACAATTTTATAAAGATATAAAAGAGAAGAAATCAAAAGCTAACCAGTCCAGAACCCCAGACTACATAGAATTCTATTATGTTACAGATCAAAATCATTCAGTCCCAAAACAGAGAGAAATCATCATGTAACTTGCGTTTCTAAAGAGATGACTATCTCTGTCAGTTTTCTCTCAAAGGATGAGTCTCTAAACCTGAAGAGGTTCTGCTGTCTTTTAAGTCAGTGTCTTTGAAAACACTATAAGCACTTCCTCAACTCACCTATATTTTATATGGCCTAATTAGATCAAAATTAAGTTCCTTTAATTATTACTACATATATACATACACATATAAACATATATGCACTTGTGTGTGTGTGCATGTGTGTGTGCGCGCGTGTGTGTGTGTGCGTGTGTGTGTGTGTATGTCTGTCTGTAAGTTTTTTATTAGAATCCTGGTTTTGCTCATATATATGAATCCAACTTTGTTTTGTGAAAAGTCTCCTCATTCCCCTAAAATGGAACGTGTGCAATGTTTGTACACTCATCACTTTGCTTTATACTCCACATTATAAAAATGTGAATTTCTTAAAAAAAGAGACATTGATAAAATTGTAAGCATCAATTTTATTACACCAGTGACTAAGTGGGCTCAGATAGCCTATGGCTTCCTAATGCCGTCTACACCTAAACCAGACTCCTTATTAGGGCTGTAAAATCCTCCTCTATTACCCCAAATTCTAAAACACCATCTTTATTCCTCACTATTCTCTGTAATAATCAAAAACAGTCACACCACTAGCTCATGTCTGTCCCTCCTCCTTTACATACACTTCAGCTTCTCCAAAGTAATTTGTAGATGAAATTTAATGGCAGAAACCAAAAAGTCACTCTGCTACCTCATCCACACATTGGAAATCAGAGTATGCTCACTAGGTTCACTGAGAAACAAATCCTGTAAGGTTTTCATTAGGCAGAATACTGACTTTTGCCTACCTCTTTTTGACCTTCTGTGTAAGGTATTTTGGGCATTCTCTATAAACTACATTCCTAGGACCCCACACAAGTCTCTGATAGACAAAAGATGAAATCCCCTGCCAGGCAGAAGGAAGTGAATATTAAGGCAAAAGTTTAACTTGGACTAAGAAAGTATCCATTTGGTCCCAACAAACTGTCCTTCTGAAAAAAGAAGTGAACCGTATAGTAAACTCCAAGTCACAGCACCAACCACTTCAAATGCTTTCTCTCTTCGAAGTTTACCTCTTTCTGGCCTGACTCAACTCTGTCTGATGGCCTCATTGCTTTATGTTCTGCTAGTATTCACATCAATCTCTGTATTTTATGAGTGCTCTTGGTCTGAAATAATATGTACATAGGTAGATATAGATGTAAACATTCTGCCTCTGTGCTTAGATCTTAGAAACGTAAATTCCTTAAGATGGGGTCAATACATAATTTGTTACTTCTTCAAAAAGCTGAAATATAATGTTCTGTACAAACAATTTAGAGACAGAATTAAAAACATATTTGCATATAAATGGCAGACATTGAATTCCCTGCATAAGGAATGCATAGGCTATCCTGATAGCATCTATAGCGAGGACCTGCATATTCCCCACTCCACAGTGAATTTGGACCTAAGTTCTCTGGTCTCTTTACAAGTTACTAAGGTCTTCTCAGGCCTCATTTACTCAGCATTTCCTGAGCACCTGTCAATGTGTCAGGCACTATGCTAGACAATGAACTAGAGAAATACGAGTAGATGAGGAATGGTTCAGCACCCAGAGCGTGGAGCCTCAGGGAAGCTAGTCCATCATTTTCTGAAACTCTGCATACATCTATGGCACTCCCAGATGCTGCCTGCACCACTGATTCTCATGACTGTGCACTATCCTCATGGCTGTCCCTGGGCCACTCTATGCTGACGCTGTTTCAAAAATCATCACCCTCCCTGTATCAGACCCAAGATGTCCCTTCCCTTACACCTTGTGCACGGTAACATTCTAATTCTTCTTAGTCCAAAAGGAAAGGCAAAAAATTGCAAGGCCAGCATTAGCTAAGGCTATCTTTCTCTCATTAGAAAGTGACAAAAGTGGTTCATTTTTGGCTAAGAGCTAAATGGACACAAAAAGCACATAAACATGGGATTTAAGGGGCACATCTACATATGAGGCAAGTTATCAGTCAACAACTAAAGAATGCTAAATACTAAGTATACAGGTCGAAAAGAACAGTCAGATTTTGAAGGGGGGTGTGAAAAGTCTTGGAGCATCCTAAAAACACAAATATTGTTTCTAAAATACCACGACACCAGGAATGCAATTAGAAAACAGCAATCTCCAAGGACAGCCCCTTGCATTAGGATTAAGTGGTTATCCCTGCTCCCCATCCAATATAAATGATGAAATGTGAAGCTTAGGCCCATAGAAGTGCAGCAAGGTTATGCACAGGAACCTTGGCTAATGCCAAAGGCAAACAGTTCCTCACAGGCACAGGCAAATGCTCACCATGGGGAGAAAGAACGCACCTGGCCTTCCTGGACTTCGTCCTGGCTGCAGAGTCAGTGCAGCTCCTCTTCTCTTTGGCCTCCTTGGTGCCCGAGGCCTCCCGGGGCTTCCGTGTCTTCTTTGCTCCATCCTTCAGCTTCGGCTCCTTGGGCTCCTTGACCTTCTTCGGCTCTTTAGCCTTCCTGGGTTCCTTTGGCTCTTTCGGTTCTCGCTTCCTCTTTGGCTTAGGCTCCCTGTCCTTGCTTCTCTTTGCTGCACCCTCTTGGTCTCCTGGCTCCTTTTTCCTACGTTTCTTCTTCACTCCAGTACCTCCTCCTCCACTGTCCTCCATCCCATTATGGGATGTCATTTTCCTAGGAAACAGGGTAGCAGCTTCCTCATCAGCAGTATATAGGTCCTTCTGGGGTAGAGAATGACTAGCATCATCTTCAATTTTCTCTTCCTGATCAGTGCTGCAGTCAAATGGGGATGGGGACTTGTAGTCAAAATTAACAGAGGCATCAGACATTGGGGAGTGATTCAGAATTTTTAGATTTGGCAACTGTAAAAGATAGAGAAACAAGCATATTACCCTTCCAATGCATGCTCCATACAAAGCGTGTTATTCAGTTTGAATGCACAGATTTGTTCAACAAATATTTACTGAGTTCCTACTATGTGCTAGTTCCTACTGTGCAAGACTTTGGGGACAGGACACACATAGCCATTGCTCTTGTGGAACTGCATCAAGGTTGTTAGTACACTAAATCAGTATCATTCAAAGGTATGCCTTTGAGTTTAACTAAGAATGGTGCTCTTTTTATGATCTTCTAACTTAGCAATCAGACTGAGCACCACATAATCTTTAGCCACTTGTAAAAACCAAACTACCTGTATTGGAGGAAACTTTATTGTGATAGACACCATTATAAAGGATGTGTCACAGGTGCTGAAGGCAGCCCTAAAAAAGAAGTTTCAAAGTTGTTTTTGAGCACCATCAAATAAAAGTATAGCCTCCCAAGGTGAATACTTTCAAGGAAGCATTCTTTTAGAAGTAGAAGTTATATCTCATTCTTTCAGGTCTGGTGTTTCAAAAACTGTTTGCAATTTCATAACAAAGGTAAGGATGGCAATAATCAGGTAATGATGAAGGTGCTAGTTTCAGGAAACAGCTGCACACTTTCTCCGTCTTTGTCTGAACAAAGAAATAAGAGCCTAGGAGGGATAAGAAGGCTTTCTAGAAAGATGATTACAATCATCTTTGGATGATGACTTGGAAATAGCATCATTTGTGAGGAACCTGCTCTCCTAAGAGGAGGCCTGGAATGTGCTAAAAGGCACAGACAGAAGTCCAGGTGGTATGGTTTCCCTCTAGTATGTTGGTTACCCAATCTGTGTTCAGACTTCCTGGCCTACCCTGAGAGTGATAGAGACTAGAAAATTTAGGTGCATATTTGCCCTTGTATCTTCCCAGCTCCTTTCTGTAGTCAGATGCTCCCAAACATAACACTGAGAATTCCAGGAGAAAAAGATGAAAGAAAAGAAAGATTTTTTTTTTGGATTCTTATCATAAATGTAGTCCAGCCTCATAAACAAGCCTAAATTCAGAGGAAATTGGTCATTCTGGTAGGACTCACTACCAAAAAACAGGAAAACAATTCAGTTTGACCACCTCATTGCTGACTGAATACTTAAGGTGGCTTTGGAAAAGTAGGCACTAACTAGACTAAGTAGATATAACAGGAACTTAAAATCAAATACAAGAAAGTGGTTTCTTTCGCCCATGCCAGCTCTGGCATGTCTCCCTTTTTTCTCTTCTTTCTCTAATAAAATTTGCTTTAAAACTTAAAAAAATAAAATAAAATAAAATCAGATACAAGAAAATGGTTAACATGCCCAACTTAATGTCATGTATTTTGTATCACAATCTTAAAAATAATTATTTATGGAATACAAGGCAAGAAGAAGCCCAGCAATGGGATAACAGGTATCCAGTTAAAGCTCAGATCCTGTGAGTACATTGCCATTCTTGGGATATTACTTTATTTTGTGCCAGAGACACTTGGCCCTCGAGGAACAAGGTTTTGCTTAGCATGCAAGGGTAGACAGACTAAAAAACCAAGAGACACAGGTTTGTTTATTAAAGAGGTTTTCTAAAATAACTCATAAAAGATCTAATTCCACCAAGACAGCTTTTTGTAGGTCAGAGTAAGACCCTGTCTTCAACTCATACTTCACACATCTCTTTTCTGAAGAACAGTGCTCCCCTAAAAAGCTGGAGGCAGGTGGCAGTAAGGGAGTATCATTAGGCAATAACAATAGCACTTGCTAACATTTATGAAATACATACCATATGGATACACTAGGAATTGTGAGAGGTATATTTCATGATCTCTAATCTTTATAACAATCCTACAAGGTCAGTTTAAAGATGTCTATTGTATACACAGCGAAATAGAAAATTAGCAGATTGATAAGCCAAAGGCCATATAGTTTAATGAGTAGAGGGGCATGGATTTGAACTTTCCATCTGGCCAAAGCTAATACTCATTTCACTGAGCACTGTACGACCTACCAGAGAACTACAACAATTGCTGGGCCACTAGGCCAGCATGATGAGACTAGGTTAGAAATGTTAAATGTGATAAAGTATACAATCACTTTGGGCACAGGTCAAGTAGTTCTTTATAAAATTAAATATACACTTACTTGATGTCCCAGCAATTCCACTCCCAGGAATCACAGATAATTGTCTAGTCTCTCCCTTTATCTTACAGATAACATAATCAGTTCAGAGAGATGATGCAACCTTCCAAGGTTCTATTCCTAGAGAGTGGCAGAGTTGGGACATCCTTGAGGGAGAAGGAAAACCCAAAAAGTACAGCACTATTATTCAATGTTGAAAAAGGGAAAGGATCCCAAAAGTATTAGCAATATAATATATATAAAATTACCATTTCAAAATCATAATTTCAATAATCAACCAGATGCACTGGCTCATGCCTGTAATCCCAGCACTTTGGGAGGCTGAGGTGGGAAGGATTGTGTAAGCCCAAGAGTTCTAGACCAGCCTGGGCAACACAGCAAGACCTCATCTCTCTCTTTAAAAAAAAAAAAAAAGTCAATAATCTACCAGAAATGCTTTTTATTTTAAAAGCACCTTGTTGGGAGCTTGGAAAAGATATGTGCTGAGTATTAAAAAATATAAGACGAAAACCTGATTCTTTCAAGTGTCTCAAAGTCAGTGGGGGGAAGGCAAAGAGCCTAAATGAAGTCTTTGTTTCAGCTTCTACCAAGAAGGACATTAAACACCACATGAAAACAGCTCTAAAAGAAACAGGTTGGAGATAATGAACCACAAGGTGCCAAGAGTATTTTACATTACAAAGATAATTTAAATAGAGGTGAAAATCTAAAAAACAAACATGATAAAACATGTAACAATGCTAGCTTATAAACTGCATTGTTCATAATAAAACCCATTTCTTTTATTCAAAATTATCATTCCACAATATTCCTGGAAAAGACCTGAAGATCTGAATCTAGATCAACTGGATTCATGTCAGCTGAAAAGGAGATAAGAACTAATGGAAAGAATATGACCTAAGGCAATGGTCCCAAACAGAGGTTCAAGGACAAATCCAGAGTATCATCTGAAGAATCACTCAAGGAAGTGAAAGTCAAAATAGATTCCAATTAAGAAAATCATCCAGAATACCAAGTCTACTTGTTACTGAATCTTGGTCATCAGTTATAATCTTAGTGGGATTTTCTTCCACACTTTTCCACAAGCAGGCCTGGAAATAATCTGCTTGAACTCATAATATTTCAGCACATCAGGTTGAAAAATATTAAATAAGCATGTTTCAATCTATATTTTTTTGAGTCAAGAAACTTTTTTTTCTATGTGTAAGAAACTCATACATGGATACCTGACAATCACTGCATTTAAGCTGCTTCTAAGCTAGTTGGATTCTCTATGCAAGTTTCTGGAGAGTTGAGGTAGAGAACTTTTCATTCTCACTCGCAAACAGTAATTACCAACAAAACTAAAAGTTTCTTTAAATACTGGCATGGAGAATGGGTATATTTCGAGATTTGAAATCTAAAAGGAAAACATTTCCCAAGTTGTAATGATATTTCTCCCTAAATTTAGAATTATGATTTTTTCTTTGAAAGAAAAACTAAATAAAGATTAAGTGATAATATAATACTATTAGACTCCCCACATTTTTATAAAAAGTATGCATATTTTATGTGAAATACAAGAGAGGGACCCCCCCAAAAAAAACCCCAGAATTATCTTTAAGAGGGTGAGTCACTTGCAGTCCAGACTGTACTAGGTGAGTATTCTAGAAACCCATTGGCACCAGTGGACCAGCCAGCACTGTTGTGACAGGCTGTGTTCAGCTTCAGTGAAATTTTTTAGGAGATTCTTTCAACGTGTTTGCCCATTGCAAGATGGGTGATTTATGAGCATACCTGCCCACACCACACTAAGTGTTCAGTAGCTTTTGACTAAAAACAGCATAACCCGGTGTCCCACCTTCCCTAATCACTGGATCTCGCCCTGAGTGAATTCCCTGGATGAAAAATTCTTCAAAGGAAAACATCTTGCTGATGTGGAAGAGGAGAAACAAAAAAATGACAGAAGCATTAAAAGGCATCCAAACTGATGAGTTCAAAAACTATTTTGAGCAGCAGAAAAGGTGTCTTGATAGCTGTATTGCATCAAACAGAGAGTACTTTGCAGGTGACTGAAGTTTAAACATGTAGGAATAAATACACAATTTTTAATAAATAAATCCTGGGTGTTTTTTTTTTTGGTTGCCCCTCATACTATTTTTCATTCACAACTTTAATACCCTCATCAAAATTAGTAATTTTTATACTTTAAAGACCATTATGAAGTAAGTAAAGTTAGGGCTGGTCCAGAGGCTCACAGCTATAATCCTAGTGCTTTGGGAGGCCAAGGCATTAGGATTACTTTAAGGCCACGAGTTTGAAACAAGCCTGGGCCACATAGTGAGACCAAGAAAATATTAAAAAATTGGCTGGGTGTGGTGGGGCACACACCTGCAGTCCCAGCTACTTGGGAAGCTGAGGTAGGAAGATCTGTTGGGCCCAGGAGTCCAAGGACACAGTGAGCTATGATCCACCACTGCACTCCAGCCTGCGCAACACAGCAAGACTCTGTCTATAATAATAATAATAATAATAATAATAATTTTTAAAGCACAGTCAGAGCTCTGTATCCATGGGTTCTGCATCTACAGATTCGACCAACTAGGGATCAAAGATATATGAAAAACAAACAATAAAAATAATATAACAACAATATAACTATTTACATAATATTTCCAATGCATTAGGTATTAGGATGCTTGTGGGTTATATGCAAGTACTATGCCATTTTAAATAAAGGGCTTGGGCATCCTTGGATTTTGGTATCTGTGGAAGGTCCTAGAACCAATCTCCCATGGAACAAATGTATAAAGGAAACCCCTCAGCACTTAAGAATATGTACAAATCACATATTTGGTAAGTGTCTAGTACCTAGAATATATAAAGAACTTTTATAACTCAATAATAAAACAATATCTAAATTTGAGACCATTGAGATACCATTACACACCCACTTATGGTGGCTATAGTAAAAGAGACAGAGAACAAAAACATTGACAAGGATGCAGAGAAACTGGAACCTTCATACACTGTCGGTGAGAAAATAAAATAGTGAAGTTACTTAACAGTACCTCAAGAAGCAAAAGACAGCATATGATCTGGCAATCCTGTTCTTATATATACATATATCCAAAAGAACTGAAAACAAGTGTTCAAACAAAAAATTATACACAAATGTTCATGGCAGCACTATTCACAATAGCCAAAAGGTAGAAGTAACCCAAATGTCCATCAACAGATGAAGAGATAAATATGCCCACACAACGGCACATTATTCAGTCATAAAGAAGTACTGATACATGCTACAATATGGATGAACCCTGAGAATATGCTAAGTGAAATAAGCAAGACACAAAAGGTCACATATTATATAATTCTAGTTATATGAAATGCTCAGAAAAGGAAAAGTCAAAACAGACAGAAAGTAGATTAGTAGTTGCCTGAGTTTGGGGAAAGGGAAATGGGAAGTGTCGGTTAATGGGCATAAGCGTTCTTTTGGGGGCAATGAAAATGTTCTGGAATTAAACAGTGGTGATATTTACACAATCTTGTGAGTATACTAAAAATTACTGAATTGAACACTTTAAAAGGGTGGTTTTATGGTATATAAATTACATCTTAATTTTTAAAAATAAGGATATACTGAAAATGGTGCTATTCTATATTGCTGGCAGGATTATCAATTATTGTAAGCTTTTTTTTCAGAACAGCAAAGCATCGGGTAGTGAATTCTTATAATCTAATGTTGCCTTGGCATCCATTTTGAATATAAGTTGAACTTTCACATACCAGGAAAGAAGAGAAGCCAGGCTTAGTCACCCTTGACAGTTTCCACTTCTTTGCTTCCTCCTAGTTCCTTGAGGAGTTCAAACTAGCTATCTGCCTTATGCAACTGCCTCCTGGTGATCACCTCCCTATGGGACAGTAAAGACATCATCCTTGACTTGCTCACTGACCCCCATGCCCCACATGTACTGCTCAAATATGCCATAGTGACTCTACAGAATACATGCATGCTTGCTCTAAACCTAGCAATTAGACTTCCTGTGGGAAACCTGCTTGGGCAACAGCCTGGATCCCAGTGAAGGCTTTGGCCCGTGTGTCATTCTCTCTCCCCTTCCCCACACATTGATTGAATATGCACGCCTTACAAGGTTACCCCATTCTTGTTGTCTGTGAGACAAGCTGTCCTCTTCTCTCTGTAATCTGCAAGTAATAAAAACTGTTTCTACTATCTCCTTTTTTTTTTGGAGTCAGGGTCTCACTCTGTTGCCCAGGCTAGAGTGCAGTAGCATGATTAAGCCTCACTATAGCCTTGGCTGCCAGACTCAGGCAATTCTTCCACTTAGGCCTCCCAAGAAGTTGGGACTACAGGTGCACACCACCATGCCTGGCTTTTTTTTTTCTTTTTTGTAGAGACAAGGTCTCACTATGTTGCCTGGGCTGGTCTCAAATTCCTGGACTCAAGTAATCCTCCTACTTTAGCCTCCCAAAGTGCTGGGATGAGCCACTGTGGCCAGCCTAGGTTACCTCCTGTGTTGTACTATGTCATCTCCTTGGCATCTCACATGACCAACACACCTAGATCTAACTCTCCTTGGTGTCTCACATGACCAACAGATCTAGACCTAACTCTCCTGGTTAGGACTCTTCCAGAGAGTGGCTATATTAGTAAAAATAAACTGGACACAGGTCAGACTAGAGCCACAAAATGTCTGTCAGTGTACACAAATTTTCTGTGAAAGGGCCACTTTGTGACAGGTCAGACATTTGGGCATTAGGCTCTTGGCCAGGATAGAGAAGTATTCAGTGAAAGGCACACTGTAAAAACATAGGACCACCTCCCTTGGAGTCCCACTAGGGCATGGCCAGAGTTTATTCTCCAGAGAGTGAGTTCAAGACCAAATTAGAGGAAAATACAACACAACCATACTGAAATTCTAATCGTGGATATCCTTTTAAACAGAGCGACTTCTCTTCTAGAACAAATTAAGGAAACACTTAAGTACTCCAAAGGTTTATGTATAAGAATATCCAATAAAAAATTGTTTTGACAGAGGAAAAAAACTATAAACAACCGACTTGTTAATC